GTCGACAGGATTTTTCCAAAACATAAGGGCGGACTTTTTGGAAATTTTGGAAATTTTGGAAATTTGGAAATTTTGGAAATTTTGGAAATCCGGAAAGTTAGGGGAGAGAATTTTGGAAATTTTGGAATTGAGGCTTTGAAAGCTGAGTGCCCCCTCCCCCCGATCACAGACCATGCACTACGACTGAGTCGAAAGGGCATGGTCTGTCATGGGGGGGGGGGTGACCATATATATATATGGTTACATGTATGTACATACGCATACCTGATACAACATAGAGACACTTTAAACACTTTGAACAACATGATGTACGATAACACAACTGTTCTGAGATGGTATCAGGAACGATATTATGATATGGTGTAAATATTGCGGTTTTATAACCTTATATGAGCTCATGTAAAATAGCATAACGACAATGCCAGAATAGCACACAGCACTGCACAATATATAATCTGCAATCGTATAACTCTGTAGCATGATATAACATCAGCCGTAGAACACAGTGTATCCTAGCATAAAGTAAAGCACGAAACATGGCGTAATGTGTTATTAAGTAATACAGTGCAATGAAATACCGGTTGGTATAGGAACGTATAATATCAAGTAAGGATATTCCATATAGCATTACGTGTTTCGCATACAGATATGTAGTGTATTATGGTACAGAAATAAAACATGACACAGTACGATATGGTATAGTATGAGATATCACACTGTAATACGATGTTCCATGTACAATTATGCAAGATGTTCGCTATTTAAGCTTATGTTTAAGTGTATGTAACACTTGGCCGTGCATTGTCTTGTTTATTATTGTTGCTGTCGTTTTACTAGATTTGTTATCATGAGTATTGGTATTAACAGTATTGTTACTACTACAGATGCTTGTTAATACTGGAAGTTCTGCTATCAGTATGGGTTCGACATTATGACTAGATTGACAATGTCTTTTATGATGGTAAGATATGAGTACTCTTTCTTTTTCTGAAGACCATTGTCAGAATCATTGTTAGTATCAGCAGTAGTACAATTTTTACTGACTTTATCATAGCTGTTATTGTCACTCTTATTATCTTCGTTATTGTCACCCTTATTGCCTGATATGTTTGTTGACAATTTGTTAATCTTACCGCTCCTATATATCTTTGTCATGTATAGGGCTTTGCAGAAACTGCGAGGGCTCCCCTCTACCCTGAGCCTGCAAACAACTGTCCCCAGCAAACCGTAAACCCTAAACTCCCTGATTTTTAAGCCCTGAACCCTAAACCCTAAAAACCTAACCGTCGCAAGCAGGCTTCGTGATCCTTCCGCCCTCGAAGATGACGTGCTGGCTGTCTCCTCAGCTTATCTTTACTTGGAGGGTCGGGGGACTTAGTAACTGGTTATCTTGGAGTTCAGCGCAGATATCTGTAGGTTTAGAGTTTACGGCTTTGGGTCGCAATAAGGGTTCTACTGTACGGGATTTCTGGTACTGCGGAGGGTCACCCTGATGCTGTTTGCTATACTAGCCACTGCCGTCACACCCAGACGCCGCGCAAGGTGTAGCCACACATTTATCGCCAAGCTGGGAATGAAGTCATCCTGAATCCTAAATAAGGTCTAGCCTTCCAGAACTTATATCCTTCATGATTGTCTTCTTCATGCTGTAATGACAAAGTCCGAAGTCTACCGAGTGAACCTAAACCTTCAATACGACAGTCCGATGCACTTTAGACCCCTAACCCGACAGTTGAGCAGCTTCGTTTAGGGAACCCTAAAGCCAACTGGACCAGAATCATCTGGACAGAGGTGACTGCCACAGCTGTGGCCAATGACATTGCCGCACGCGCACGAACTGCTAGCGATACAAGGTGCCGCTGAAATCAGGTGTTAGGGTGTTTCCGTTGCGGGTTTGGGGTTTGGGGGCTACGATGTGTTGCTGGGTCTTCAGTGCAGGGTTATAGTTTGTAGGGTCTTTAGCATTTGTGATGTTGAGGGTTTCGAGGCCCATTCTCGGGCTGAACTAGTAATTTACCCTTTACACGTCTACACTTGGTTCGTAAACTGAAAGACAACTATGTGAAAGGGGGGTACCTAAGGCGGAGAATCGGGGGACTTGGTAATTAATTCGGATCATGCCTCAGAAAGAGTGCAACTTGAAATTGCTTGTCTCTAGTAAGGTGCTTGTAACCTACCTTATACCGCTACCTTTGGGTACTGCTCCCACTCAGTAACAGTTGGATAAGATTCATAATACATATATATATATAAGGAATAACGACCTTGTAGACTGCTACTGTATGGGGGCTGTACCCAACAGCTACCCCTAAACGCTCAAGACCACTGTGAAACCTAGGAGCTCCTTTGTAACAGCCTTCTAGTGCGTCAAGCAGGAAAGGTCAGAGAACGACGTGACGAAACTTAAAAACTTATTTACAACGAACTTAGTGGCTGAGTAGGTAACCTTTGACATTTTGGGATTCAAAAAACTGAAAAGGTTAACCTTTTTTGGACTACTTGGCCCCGAAGTGAACCCTACGCAGCTACTTCTAACGAAACCCTAGACCCCGAAACCCCCCAAATAGCCCTGAACCCATGTCGCCGCGCACCAGCCTCACAATGGACTCGAGAAGGCTTGGTAGAAGCCCGAAGACTCCCTGGGTTTCGCTGTACAGCTTCGGCCTACTACTTGGAGGGTCGGGGGACTTAGTAACTGGTTGTTTTAGGGACTTATAAGTACCATAACCCCAATTAGGGTCCCCTTCAGGGTACTTATAAGTCTACTTACTACCTGCTTACTAACTCCCCCGACCCTCCAAGTATAGAGTCCTTGATAATTACCTATACCGTGTTTGGGGGTTCCTCCTTATAGTTACAGTATAATGGGCCCCAACACCCTATTCTCTTTATTAAGGCCCCTATATTAGGCCTAAGCCCTAAACTTACCTAGACCCCCAAAACTAATCTGTGATGTAGGGTTAGGAGGGTTAGAGCTTCGGGCTGGGGGGGTTCCTAGACCCCCCAGCTACCTTCTAACATACCCCAGATACCCAGTATCAAGGGCCTTTGGGGCTCTATTAAAGACCCCTGGGGTCTCCTGGAGGGGTCCTGGTAAAGCCCACACCCTAAACCCCTAAACCCTGAACCTTATCTAGGATCTAGAGTAGGCCCTTATTCCCTTTTTGGGGGGTTCAGGTCCCCTTATAAGCCCCTTTAAACTAAAAAGGGCACCCTTTTTATTCCTAAGTTACTCTTGGGTCTAGTTATAGATTCCTTACAGGAACCCTTCAAAGGAACCCGTATAGATCCCTTTTACAAGCCCTTGAGGGGGTCCTGACCCTTTGCAGAAACCTGGAATGATGCGCGCAGGCTGCGCCAGGGAAGACCCTGAGACGATTCACTGGCTCTGAGTGCGGAAGAGGTTTCTTGGAGGGTCGGGGGATTTAGTAACTGGTTATTTTAGGGACTTATAAGTACCATGCCATAACCCCAATTAGGGTCCCTTTTAGGGTACTTACAAGTCTACTTACTACCTACTTACTATAAGTCCCCCGACCCTCCAAGTAGTCTTCAGCCCTTAACTTCTGCTTGGCGTTCTTCTGGTTGGCTCTTAGGACTTGAACTTTTTGGGTTTCTATATGAACTACAAGAAGGAGGCTATTTAAAGTTTAACTTTTAGGAGGGGTTCAGAAGTCAGCCAAGTCTAGTATATCTCATTCAAGGGATCCCACTTTTACACAAGGTGGAAGTGCAGGGTGGGCAAATGAAATTCTGATTAGTAGGGCAAGTAAGCGGGAATTACTGTCCCTTCTTGGGTCCCTTTGCGCCATTGCCATTGTCGTAAAAGCACGATCTACAAATTAGGCCTTAGGATTTCATTCGATTTGGGGGGTGTAGTGGTTTAGGCTTCTGGGGAGAGAGATATCGCGGCGCGGCACCCGTAGCTTCAGAAAAGCTGCTGGTATTGAGTCGCATGGAGCTCCGGTGCCGTGATCTTGGAATTCCCGGACCTCATATCCGTGAATAAACCCCTGCATCCTTCTGCAGGAAGGCTGCAAAGTAGTATCCAGCACGATCCTTGCACATATTTGGGCTGTCTGTCGCGGAAGGAACGAGTTTGGCAGCAGTCCGTATTCGCGTACTCTTTGGTCGAGATTTTTGAAGCAGTTAAACACCATAGTCGTCGCAAGCAGGAGTGCGTAAGTGCGAGCCTTTCCAATCCATATGTGCAGTTTGTTGTGTTCATGGCTGGTTGAGATACAGACAAATTACTCCCGTCGGTAGTGGTTTATGGAGGTGTGGGGGACTTAGTAAGTAGGCAGTAAGTAGACTTATAAGTACCCTAACAGGGACCTTAATTGGGGTTATGGTACTTATAAGTCCCCAAAAAAAACAGTTTCTAAGTCCCCCGACCCTCCAAGTAGTGGTTTATGGAGGTGTGGGGGCCTAAGGTTGCGGGTTTGGTTTTGCTTGGGGTTTAAGGTTGGGTTGAGCAGGGCTTTAGGCTTCAGCGTTCATGCCTGGCTTCGGTGAGGAGCCAAGCAGAACACAGCCGCCCCGCAGCTCTTCTGGGCCGAGCTTGAAATTTACGAAGTTTAGGGCTTAGGGTTTAGGGAGTGGATTAGGGTCAGGTTTTTAGGGTTTGGCTGAAGCCTGCCAGTACAAACCATGCACCGAAACCAACACGGATAGCTCTGTCTCTTACCTAGAAAGTAGATCCCCCGGTTTGGGACCCTATACTACTAAAGGAACCCCCATTAAGTGATCTACTTTTTGGATCCGCCCGGGGGTCTGGGTATGGGGTTGAGCATTGCCAAGATTTGAGAGAGTAAGGCCTGCAGAATAGGTTTTGCGGCTATTTCCCGACAAACCTCAACCCTAAACGCCCAAGAATTGAGCAAGCCGAACCTGCACCCCCACGCCTCACAGAACGGTAGGTTACGACCCGTATAACGCAAAGAGGCATAGACTCCCCAAGGACAGCTAAGCATCATTCCTGCCAGCATTCTGCAGCAGCCATGGCTGATGAGGACGTTCCGGGCCTAGGTTGCTAGGACCACGTGGTTTAGGAGTTTTAGAACTGCGACGTGATAGGTGGGAGTGGTACCTTATTTTGGGGCCCTCGTAAGAAGGATCCTACCATTTCGGCTACTATGTTAGGGTCCCCTATTTCCGGAAACTCCCAGGTGGCGGCTTTCCCTAAAAAAGTAAGAGCAAAGTCCTCTGTCCCAAGAGAGAGTGATGATGTCTCGGTCTCGGGGCCCTAAACCGTAAACCCCTAAAGCCCAAACCCTAAGCCCCTAAGCCCTAAGCCCCTAAACTTCCTAAACCCCTCACCCTTAACCCTCAGCGCAGTGAACCACTTCCATCGAACGGTTTTCGACCTTCGAGAAGATGGAACTTGTGAATAGCAACGATGGAGTTCCCGGAAATTAGGGGTTTAGGGTTCAAAACAGGTACCCTATGTTAGGGTCCTTGTTATCAGGATCCTACTATGCAGGGTACTATGGATTTTCGGAAACTCCCATGAACCAGCAAACCGACAATAAAGGTAACACACACGCAAGCACGAAGGATGAAGTACACCGCACCGCAGATATTCATTTCCTTGCAATCAAACAACTGTTGCAGGAGGTTTCAAGGAGAAATGCCTTGGTCGGCCTTCTGCCTGGTAGTTGATCGCATATAACCCTAAACCCAAAACCCTAAACCTTAAGGCTCTATGCCAGATTAGGGGTAGGTCAACTTTTCCGTGGAACCTGACATGAAACCCCACACCGAAGGACGTCAGCCGTTTGGCGGATGACTTCGCTGCCAAGGTTCGCTGGCTTGCAAGTTTTCTTATTGGGGGTTCTTATGCGGTAGTCGAGATTGAAAGTTTCGACTCTGATTCCTTGGGGTGTTGTGCCAGTGAGCTTTGGGTGCTTTCATATTTGAGGTTTTCAGATTTGTGTTAACTCGTTCACCTAAACAAAGGTTTTATGCGTGAGCATTGAACTGTAGGGAACCCTCGACGAGTAGGTTTCGGGGGGCTTAGGGTACTGGTAAGGTTTAGGGGCGGCCCCAAACCTGAAGCCGTAATTCAGGATTTTCGGGAGTCGCCCCTTTGGACGGACTCACCTGGCAAACACAACCGCCTGTAGCTCCTGAATAATGAGAGTGGGGCTTGAGAGGGTTTATCCGGGTCATGATACGGGTTATAATTATAGGGCCTCAATAATGAGAATAAGGTTTGGGAGCATATTGAAACCCGTCATAAATTCAGCAGGAACCGCTAAGGAATAGTATTGGCGATTGTTCATGCTTCTGCATGACCCGTCCAGCAACCGCGCATACCTTAGGAGCCAGCTCGTTGTTGTTATTATTTTTGGTTTTGTACAAGAAGCTAGGGGCCGGTTAAAGTACTAGTGTTCTTAGCAGTAGAGTTTAGGGACCCCAAAAAGCACATGCATAAGCATTGTATAGGGATATCCCTACCTTATTGGGCTTCATTATTAATGACGGGGTTTATATGGGATATCCCGAACCTTATTTTTGCTTATGTGCTTTTGGGGGGCCCTAAGAGTAGGTACCTTTCCGAACAAAATCCCAAAGGTCAACTTTTGTCTAGTTCTCCGAGGATACTGGACAGGTAAGTGTTGTTTGGTGTCAAAGCGGCTTATTGTCTCTTATGGCGGAGGCATTCGCACCCTAAACCCTAAACCCCTTGCACACCCCAGTCACCCCAGTTTCGACTTCAGATTCCCTAGATCTTACTTTCCGAAGACAGGAATACGCCGCAGGTCCTGCAAGGGATCTTGAACCCGCTACATGAGGATCTTGCTCAACTTATAGGCTGGAACATCTTACTGGAGGGTCGGGGGACTTAGTAACTTGTTGTTTTAGGGACTTATAAGTATCCTAACCCCAATTAGGGCCCCTTTTAGGGTACTTATAAGTCTACTTACTACCTACTTACTAAGTCCCCCGACCCTCCAAGTAATCAGTAGCCGTAAACAGGTGACCCTGCATGCCCGGAAAGTCGAGGACGGGAAGGGCTGCCAAGGAAAAGCTATCGAGATTCGGGTTGAAGCCCCCAATGCTTGAAGGATCGTGGGACATGGTCACTAGCGTTATGAATAAGGTAACTATAGCTATATAGATACTTCTATATACTCCCAATTCGGGTTCCTGTAGCCTTACTTACTACGTCCCATGATCCCCGAAGTATAGAAGCCTGAATGATTACCAAAACTATTCCAAAGCGTTTTCTTATCATTTCTCTATTATAGTATGTCCCAGGACTCGGTTCTAATTGTTGCGCCGCGCCCGGCAGGCGCCCAGACGCGGGGGGCTCAAGGGGGTGTGAGGGGGGTGGGAAGTGAACCCTAAACCGTATGACGTTGTTTCGCGCTTGGTGGTGGTGATGTTCTTCTCGATCTCATGATTTCGACAATGACCCAACCCTATGTCCTCACAGAAACACGCATGGGAAACATTGTAATTACGATTTCCCACGTTCAGGACCGAGGAAACCTCAACGGGCTGCAAGATTCCAAAGTTTTCGGCCCTGCCACGTAATTGCACGTCGCTTGCATCTGTTCGCGCTGTGTTTCGCCCTATGTCCGGGAGCGTGTTCTCCAGCCCTCCAGCCAGCCGCCCTCCTGGCCTCCAGCCCTCCAGCCTTCCAGCCTTCCATAATGGAGGAGGCAGCAGCAGCAGCAGAAGAGGCCGTGGCAGTAGAGGAGGCAGAAGCAGCAGAGCAGAAGGAGGAGTAGAGGAGGCAGCAGTAGCAGAAGAGGCATTGGCAGACGACAACCGCAGAAACAACAGAGGAGGCAGAAGCAGCAGAGGAGGAGGTGGAGCAGAGGAGGCAGCAGCAGCAAAACATGCAGTGGCATAAACGTCTTGTTGAAACAGCCATGGTTATGCACTTAAACATACGTCTTAATGGATGCCTGAAGGTAGGCATGTGCTTTGGGGGGAAACGCACGTTCTGAACATCAACTCGTGTGGAATCCCATGCGTTGGACAATGAGACAACCCTACATCCTCACAAAACTTGCTGGCAAAATTCGCAGTTTTGCCACGCAAGCCCATGTCAAAACTTCAACCAACTGCAAGACTGGGGAGTAGCGAAGCCCCCGGCCAGCCACGTGATTTGTACTTCGCTTGCATCTAATGACACGTTGTTGCCTCCTACCCTTGTACACGTCACAAGTCCTTGGAGAGGTTAGACCAGTAACAGGGTTCTTGGGGTTTCAGACGGCTTGGGTTTTGGAGCTTAGCTTCAACCCTGGTAGGCTAAGGGGGTTGTCACTTGCCCAGGGTTGAATCGCTAAGGCTTGAGGGATGGGGGTTGAGAGTATTTGTCTTGGGTTTCTTTTTCGCGAACTTAATTTGAGGCGCCACAACAGGGATCAAGAGGAGACAAAAAGCTTCTCTTATCATGGTACAAGTAGCGTTATTGACAAGGAAACAGCAACGGAGTTGTAGACTCGTAAGATGAGGCCAGATAGGGGACCCCAATATAGTACCCTAAATAGGGACCCCAAAATCCCCAAAATAAGGTACCCCGAATTTGCGGAAACTTTTCAACCCTAAACCCTTTACAGAACCCTTGTAATATAGATCTCTTTAAGGAACCGTTTAAAGGTACCCCGTAATTTTCGGAAATCCCGATAAGGAAATCTAAGAGATCCTGCCTCAGGGCGAGGCCAGCCCTCGATAACCACCGTAAAGACCGACTTAAATATGGGGCTCCTTTGAAGGGGATTCTAAGGGCTCCTTTAAAGGGCTCTATAAGGGTACTATAGGGCGTAGGGTTTAGGGGTTCAGGGACTCAGTAAGTAGGTAGTAAGTAGACTTATAAGTACCCTACAAAGGACCTTAATTGGGGTTAGGATACTTATAAGTCTACAAAATAACTGGTTACTAAGTCCCCCGACCCTCCAAGTGGCCTGCTCTGCTTCCGCGACCGGCGGCGCCCTTGATGCCGACTGCCTCTGAGCCAGGCGCCTCTGCCACTCTGGCAAGCAGCAGAAAAAGGAAAAAAGGATCAAGAACGCGAAGCAAGACATAAAAAGGCGCAAACTCTTGAAAGAATGGAGACAGCAGCAAGCCAACAAGACAAAGAAGCAGGCTCTGCTGTCTGTCGTGCCCAAAGTGGGCCAGAAAAAGGCCAAGAAGAAGGCCTCCAAAGGCGACAAGAAGCCCAGCCTGAGGCAGCTTCTGAGGGCTTGAGGCGCTCGGTCCGCTTGCGAAGCGGTCGACGCCGGGCCCGGCTCCCCGGAAGGGAGCATTCTGCGGCCAGTGACGTTGCGGAAAATTTGGCGGCTGATGGCCCTACGAATGCCACCACGGAAATGGGCACCGGCTCCGACACTCAGCCCGCCCTCCCCGCACCCAAGCCGAAGACCAGGCGGAAGAGATTGCGACCGGCCTAGTGAAACCCCCCTTTGGCCTCCCATCATCTGAGTCTACGAGCTGAGATGGCTCCGACGACCGCTCGGACGTCCGAGACGTGGTCCAGTTCTACGAGGAGTTCGAGGAAGTTTGCGCCCCTAATATAGTGCCCTAAACAGTAGGATCCTTATTATAAGGACCCCAAAATAAGGTACCCCTAATTTGCGGAAACTTTTCAACCCTAAACCCTTTATAGAACCCTTGTAGATCCCTTGAAGGAACCCTTATGGATCCCTTTTAAGGACCCCTAATTTTCGGAAACTCCCGTGTGTACAAGGCGGCGAGGCTACTGACAACCCGCAGGCTGTGCATGAGCGCATCAAGCAGCGCCACTTAGAGGGTCGAGGGACTGAGTAAGTAGGTAGCAAGTAGACGTATAAGTACCCTAAAAAGAAACCCTAATTGGGGTTATGGTAGTTATAAGTCTACAAAATAACCAGTTACTAAGTCCCCCGACCCTCCAAGCAGGCGATGGTGGATCAGGGGCAAGGTTTGGGCGTTGGGGTTGCCGAAGCCCGAAACCCTAGTTTGAACCCCTAAACTTAGGCCGGGGTGCTTAGAAATATTTTTAGTTTTTGGTTATTATAACCCCTATAAGAAACAGCTAAAGTTATTATTTTTTTGCTGGGGTTCTAAGTTCAGTATAGTAAACTCTAAACCCAAAGCGCTACACTCGCAAACTACAGCACACGCACACCCCCTCAGAAAAAAAACAGAATCAACACCAAGCCAACATAAACATAGAAACCCTTCTAGTTGCCTTAACTTGGCTTTCTCCTGCTTGGATCTTTAGACTTTAGCTTTTTGGGCTTCTATATGAGCTTTAATAAGGAGGCCAAAAAAGTTTAACTTTTAGGAGGGGTTCAGAAGTCAGCCAAGTTACATAGGTGGTTGTCAATACCAGGGTCGCTTTTTGGGTTCTTATTATAATACGGCACCTAATATTTAGGGTACCCCAAAAAGGGACCACAATTTTTGACAACCACCCACATGAGCCACCCAGAGGCTCCAAAAGCCCTTCATTAAGGAATATACCTTAAACTATAATAGGAATCCTATTATGATATAAGGTATCTTCCTTAACTAAGGGGTTTGGGAGTCTCTGGGCATGAGCCCTTCCAGGACACCGACTCTGAGGCGGTGGAGGATGAAGAGATGGCGGCCGTCGAAGGTTCCATGATCACAGGCAGGCAGGGTTCCTTTAAGGGTTCCTTTCTGGGTTCCTTTGTGGGTTCCTTTGTGGGTTCCTTTAAGGGTTCCTTTGTGGGTTCCTTTATGGGTTCCTTTATGGGTTCCTTTAAGGGTTCCTTTAAGGGTTCCTTAGTGGGTTCTATCGGGATTTTAGGGTTTGTAGGGTCTACTTGGAGGTTCACGGGCAGTTAGAAGTGGGGCTACAAGTCGGGCGAGTAGACGTAGAACTTTAGAACCCCGCGTATAACTACCCATGAACCTCCACGTAGGAGAAAAACGGATAGTGCAGGGGGTCACAGATGCTGATATGCAAGTCAGACTGAGTGTTAATAGTGTTGCTCAGTGTTCTGTGTTATAGTTTTCGTTCTACATGACAATGTACCCCAAAACCCATTCCAATGATTGAGGCCCCGGTATTTCAGGGGTCATGGCCTCTAAACTTCGTTCTTGAAACCTCGCCGGGTTCTTAGAAGTAAGATTCGATGTGTGCTCGAGTCATAATTATTCCCCAAATAAAAAAAAACATATAACCGTACTTACAACTGCCCATGAACCTCCAAGTAGGACCCGAGCAGGCCGTAAATGAAGTTAGCGCACCCTGAGACCAAAAGGCCGAAGACCCTGATGCCTGACAGTCCTAAAGGCCTATGGCCTTCGGTTTTAGGGTTTATGGCTGTTTAGGGTTTAGGGTTAGGGTTTAGGGTCAGGGTTTAGGGTTTAGGGCTGTTAGGGTTTAGGGTTAGGGTGTAGGGTTAGGGTTTCAATACCAAGTCTAGAACCAAGTCGAACCCTTTAGTCATCCCTTCTATATAGAACCGTCAGGGCTAAAGCTTTGTTTGCCTGCGAGGCAGCTGCAAGTGCGGTGGCTGTCGTTTTCAGTTCCCTGCGCGAAAGGCAGTTAACCGGCTTGATTGCGAGGTCTAAGACCTACCCAGAGACTCCAAAACCCGTTAGTTAAGGAATATACCTTATATCATATTAGGATTCCTATTAGAGTTTAAGGTATGTTCCTCAATTAAGGAATATGCCTTATATCATATTAGGATTCCTATAATAGTTTAATAAAGGTACATTCCTTCATTAAGGGCTTTTGGAGCCTCTGGGCTCGGACGATGGGGCTGGGGTTGAATGCTTGGGGTTTTGCGGATCATGGGACAGAAGGGACGTCGGGTTTTGGGTTCAAGGTTAACGTTTACTTGGAAGGTCGGGGGACTTAGTAACTGGTTATTTTGAGGGACTTACAAGTACCATAGCCCCAATTACGCTCCCTTTTAGCGTACTTATAAGTCTACCTATCTACCTACTTCCTAAGTCCCCCGACCCTCCAAGTAAGGGTTTCGGGCTGTAGTTAGGCTTCGCTGTTTGGAGCTTGAGGGTTGCCATTTGGGGCGTAGGTGGTGGCGGTTACGGCATTTTTTGGATCTCGTTGAACACTGCAGCAACAAGTAGGACCTGCATGATGCAGACGGAGTGACAGACCGACGTAGACACCTATAGATCCGCAAAAGAACAGCTTACATATACTGTCTCGCATTGTGAGAAAGCCCTCAAGCCCATGAATAGGCCTTAAGTTGCACAAAGCATGACACGCTCTCACACGCCGCTCAACCTAAGCCCCAAACTCTACACCTATAAACCCTACAGTAACCCCTACACCTAAAGCTAAACCCTAAACTCAAAAGTTCCTAAACCCCGAACCAGACACCTACTGTAAACTCTACCGAAGAGCCCCGGGCGGGTGCGTCGTAGGTGCAGCCAAACGGGCCCTCAGGAAGGCTGGACATGGCAAACTGCAACTTGGATCGCAGACTCTACTTGGAGGTTCATGGGTAGTTGCTGTAAACAGGGTAAGTATACTCATAACCCATATTCACGGCCTTGCTTATAACTATCCATGAACCTCCAAGTGGGGTCCTAAACCCCTAGACCCCCCACAGGCCTTAAACCTCGAAACCCGAAAAGGGTCTTGGACTTGGGGGTTGTACTAGCCAGGGGTTTACGGTGACTGGGGTTTTCTGGGCGAAGGCCGATTCAGAAGTCAACCGCTTCTCGGCTTTCTTACATCTAGAGCTACCATACCCTGAAAACCATAAAGCATACTGAAAGCTTATTCGTTTCTGGCCAGGGCACCCCTCAACGAAGTCAGAGGTTTTGGGCGCGACTTGAGTCGAGACTGTCAAGCATGTCAATATGCCGGCTGAACGAATCTCTCCCTCAGACCCAGCCTCAAAATTCACGTGAAGTGATTCGGGATTCCCTTAGCGACGTTGGTGAGTGTGTAGTCAGTCTAGCTGCTCTGGAAACGGGCAAGTTACGAACCATAAGCGCTTTCGCTACCTCTTATGCCCTGAGACAGAATATTAGAGCGCTCATACCCTTTGATTGCAGAGCCCGAAAGCCTTTAGAATTACATCCTGACACACTCATAGCCCTGTTCAGGGATCCTACAACCAGAAAATCTTACAGCCCGAGACTTCTGCGAAGGAAGCCCACCTCAGGTGTGTCTCGTCTGCCGGATTTCGAGAAAGGGCTAGCGCCATCTAAGCTCAGGCACCTTTTCAGGGTTTTAGGCCTTGGGGCTGAGAGTTTAGGACTGGGGTTTGGCGTTGTAGGAGCCGTAAACCCTAAACCCTACAAGATGCATTTTCGTCTCGTTGTACATCGACATCTGCTTCGTATGATCCGAGGCCATTGCAGCCTCTGTCGCCGGGCACACGCAGCCGCTCGGATCCGACATTGCCCAGACCCTAACGCCCTAAGCACCTAAACCCCCCACAAACCCTGCGGAGTTCAGGATTGGGGGTTTAGGTCCTTTTAGGATTAAGACTTTCAATTCCGGAGCGGGCAACTGCGTGGTTGCGACTGTGTGAAGTGTTGCATTACATCTCTTGGTGCGCTCTTGGTTCATTTTATACGTTGCCTTATTGGAACTATAAGAGGATCGCTTGCAGGGCGCACCCAGATCTTGCATCCCCCTTGATGCTGGGAGTTAGGATTAGGGGGACCCTCGGGGATAAAGACCCTCTCAATAAGGTCCCGTTTAAGAGAGCCAGGAGTAGGGTTCCTTTAAGGGGTACCCTTTAAGGGGTCTCCCTCATCATGCTACCTTAAAGCCCGCTGGTCCGATCAAAATCCTGGGCAAGCAGCCCTTCGTGTTTGGGGGGGTTACTTGGAGGGTCGGGGGACTTAGTTTTAGGGACTTATGAGTACCATAACCCCAACTAGGGTCCCCTTTAGGGTACTTATGAGTCTACTTACTACCTATTTACTAAGTCCCCCGACCCTCCAAGTAGTAGCCGTGGTGTTGGTGTGTACAGGGTGGGACATGGGATGCATACGATCTTGCATCTTGGCTCCTATTGTCTGAAGCCATTTGTGGAAGAACCATGTCGCGCAGTAGGTATTAAACTACTGAGGGTAGCACATGAAGGAGGCTGATGATTCACTCCATATTAGCATGAGTTGGCTGATCTCGATTGCCTTACCTTTGAGGCCCTAAATGCAGCCCTCCCCCAGACCCCAGGTTGCAGTCGGAGGAAGGCATTCAAAGACTCAACCAACACGTTAAACAGCAACTGACCACCTTCTGGAAGCCCCTTTTACTATTCTTGTGATGCATAAAGTCGACTAGACGACCTACTCTTATCGCCGAAAGCAGCCTAAAGCAACATTGCGGCGTAATGAATATAAAGTATGAACATCACTCCTTTACTGTTCCAAGCCCTTGCTCAAATGTCGGCCCCACTGCCCAAGGGAAGAACGGAGTTCAAGAAAATGACCACGAACGACAACGAAGCTTAATCCCTACTCCCTAACCCTATCGCCTAAACCCTAGGCCTCAAACCCTAAATCCTCCCTATGCAAACCTGAAGCCGAAGAACGAAACCTGAAGCCGCAAACCCTTAACCCTAGGCCACGGAACCCTAAACCCTGAGAGCTAATCACCCAACTCTACCAGGACCTCCCAAGGGACCTTTAATAGAGGCCTTATGGTGCTTGACAGTGAGCATTTGGGGCATATTCGAGGGTAGTTGGGGGGTCTAGGTAAACCCTGAACTACGGCTTCGAGCTTTCAGGTTTCCAGGCTCTTAGGTGGTTAGAGTGTAGGATTTAGGTATAGGGTTCGGGGATTTTAGGGTTTAGGGGTTAGGGATTGAGGTTTCGGGTGAAGGGACTCGGGCTTGGTTTAAGCTGGGTACTATGTAACCTAGAAACGGTTCCATCACTGCCGTGGCACCGAAACTTGGCACGTGTTTGCTTTTTGTTGGGGGGTGGTGGGTGTGCTGACATTGATGCCACGTTCACTAGTGACACTGGTGCTCTCGTCGTCAGTCGCCTGTGAGAAATAGTCAGCTCCGATGCCCTGTAAACCCTAAACCCCAAAATCTAAACCCGAAACTCTAAACCCTAAACCCTAAATCCCAAAGCTAGGCCGCTTTCGCCTCCTACGTCACTGCCTTTGCCTCAGCTGCAAGGGCTTCCCGTAAGGGTCCAAAGAACCCCATAACTAGGTAGTTGGGTTTAGGGTTTAGGATAGTACCCACAGGCCCGATAGTGGTTCCTTTCTGGGATTACCTAAGAGAATTCTAAACATGAACCCCCCCAAAAGGAACTACTATGGGGTTATGTAGCTCAATATTTAGGAGAGTACATGAATATTAGGTACTTGGACCCTTCACGCTTCAGGCTTTCAAGGTGTCCGGCTCGTGAGTAACAGAGGGGCATCACGTAGTCAACATTGGAGCTGAGGTATAGTATACCCAGAGGCCCCATAGTAGTTCCTTTCTGGGATTACCTTCTAGGATTCTATATATGAGCCCGAAAAAGGAACTACTTTGGGGCCTCCGGGTAGTAGGTTCTTCATAGATATGATATAATGCGGAACTAAGGAAGGGTACTGCCTTACTGCTAAGTGTTTAGGCTTCTACAGTATCTGAGGTTTATGGGAATTCATGGGTTTAAGTGTTGGGGTTCAGGGTTTTGGGTGTTTAGGGTATAGAACCATATAGAACCCTAAACGGTACCCATTGTAGAATGCTTGCTTTTCAGAGACAGGCCTGCTTGCCACTCAGTGTATTGGGGCTTAAGGTTTTCGCAAGTTAGTACTTGGAGGTTCATGGCTAGTTATAAGTGGGGTTATAAGTCCCCTAATATGAGTTATAAGTATACTTACCTTACCTATAACCTCACTTGTAACTACCCATGAACCTCCAAGTAGGCCCTTCAGCCCCCCTCAACCCATTCCGGTTGTGTTTTCATGCCGCGACTTGAATATTGTGGAACTGCAGAGACCTATTCCCCAAGCATCCAACAAACCCTAAGCCCTAAACCGCAAAGCCTAAATCCAGGGTGTGGTTTGGGGATTTAGTTAGTTAGTTTCAGTGGGAGTTTCCGAAAATAGGGGTACCTTACTTTGGGGTCCTTATAATTAGGATCCTACTATTTAGGGTACTATATAAGGGGTCCTCCTATTTTCGGAACTTTCCAAGTACCTGCGAGGTGCCCACGGCCGCCGTGGAAAGGCTGAAGGCAGCCCTGGGATCTTCACCGTGGCGGGTTTGCGGATCTACTAGGTAGGGCTTTGGGACGTTTTATATTTGCCCTTATTGGGCTTAAGAGGATCTTATTAACTAATATTTTTCAAAAGCTTTAAAAGCCCCACCTAGATCTAGGCTTTCGGAAGTCAGGGCTTAGGGCATCTAAGTACGCTTTTCTGCAGAACCCTGGAACCCTTCATGCCTCAACCCTAAACCCTAAAACCCCTTTTACACTTAGTTTACACCACTATAAACTTTAAGCTTTCTAACGTACTTCGGTGCCTTCAGGCACAGCGGCCAAGAAATCTTGTTCCACTTATTTTGTATAGGGCCCTGAATAGCTAGTAATCTTGCTCCTTAGGGGTCGTTAATATAGTATAGTCCCAAACCTTGCTCAGGCCCCTATACTATCGGTTTAGGATTTAGGGTATACGCCTTTCAAAAGCGTGTCCATCGTGTTTGTTCGGCTTTCATTTCTTACCCAGAGGCCCCAAAGTAGTTCCTTTTTCGGGCTCATATAAAAAATCCTATAAGGGGTAATCCCAAAAAGGAACTACTATGGGGCCTCTGGGTAGGCCGCCAAACTACACGACCCTGCACTCCTCAAATTTAGTGGTGTCTTGGCCGGTTTCGGGTGCGTTTCATTATAAGGTTTAGGGTTTAGGGGTTTAGGGTTTAGGGCTTCAATCTGCACATGTTCACAACTGCCGTCACGAACTCCACATTCATGAGCGCAAGCAGCATCTCCTGCCCCACTCGCAGAGCCACCACCGCGCTCCCACGCCACCCTACAATTGCTTCTGCTGCTTTTCTACTGCTGGTGCTGCTGAGGTTGGCATTGCCGTCGTCCGTTTGCGTCGACAGGAGCAAAAACAACGTTAAGCTGCTGATAACGGCGGTAGTGAGTCAAAACCCTGAACCCCTAAACCCTGAACCCTCGAGGGCCGCAACACAATCCTCGACACCTGCGCCACAGTCTGTCAATGGTGTCGTGCGGAGAATATAAGGGCATAAGTAGATACCAATACTATTTTGGGTGTTCCTTATTACAAGTATAGTGCAATGGTCCCCAAACTCCATTCTAATTATTAAGGCCCCTAGATTAGCTCCGTGCACTAAGAAATGAAAACAGGTCCGGTGGTGAGGTCGGGGTTTCTGTGTGCTGAAAAAGGTGTAGTGTAGGGGCCGTAAATTTAGACATTACAAGGGTTTGGAGAATATGATTCTACTATAAGACTATACAGTGTCTATGAGGGAATTTGGCTTTCATGAGATCTGATCAGCTGCACACATCGTAGCTCAGTGGATAGATAGGATACTTCTGCCAGCTTGAACGACTTGTGAAGGGATGAGCACATCTAGGCCTGCGACTGCTTCAGAACATACTGCCCTTTCTCCACGGCTCCAGGACGACGTGCAGATAGCAAAGGCCTTTGCTTCCCAACTGAGGTATCACAGCCATCATGCCCGCTGGAGGCGACACCGTCGACAAGGAGAGCGTCTTCGCTAACTACAAGTCGGTCTTCTCACGCCAGTTTGCCGTTTCCCTGGCCGTGGAGTTTGTGGGAGTAATGTTCTTCCAAATTCTTGGAGGCACCTCTGCCCCAAAGTATGCTCCGTTTGTGAACGGCTTCGCCTTGGCCGTGTGGATCTACGTTGCTGCCAACATCAGCGGTGGCCACCTGAACCCTGCGGTGAGCTTTAGCACTGCTGTTTGTGGTTTCTACCCGGTCATTCACACGGTCTCTTGTCCCAGTTCAGGTAATTACCGCCATCTGTTGCATCGGATGTCCTACTATACCTTTCCCTACGAAACCCAAACCTTGCACCCAAAACTGATCCCTGTGCTTGCCCTGGTAGAACATTATGGACCCAGAAGGGCCGAAAGCATAAGCATGTTATATCACTACCCTTTGGGGCTTAATTATAAGGGAGTGTAATGTGGGATATCCCCATCCTTACCTAGACCCTCCATCTACCCTCCATTAGAGTATGGGACTACATACCCCAATTTCAGGGTACAAGGAGGCTCCTGGTATTCTTTGCTTATGTAGGTGCTTCTGTTGATGATATAAATCCTGCATTACCTTAAGGACCCCAAACTATGGGAGTTATGGTATATTCATTATAATGGGTAATGCAGGATTTCTATCATCAACCGGTTTGGGGGGTCCGTGGTGAGACTCGGTCTCCCGCTGGGCCCCATGTTGCATTGTTTGTGTCGTCTTAGAGTCTTGGGTTCCTCATAAAACGAGCCAGTACCAGAACCCTAAACCCTAAACCCTAATAATAACCTTAACCCTAAACCCTAAACCCATTTTCTTCTTAGGTTACTGGGGGTCCCAGAAACCATACTGCTATTTCTACCCAGTCAAAACCCTGAACCCTAAACCCTAGAACCTAAAGTGACTAGGAGCTAGTCAGTAACCACAGGACATATTGGGGATACCTGGAGGTTTGTATGCAGATATTGGTGGGCGTCAGAAGTAGGGTAACATACATACTTACACATATTCGCGGACATACAACCCCCACTTATCAGTACCCCTGAACATCCAAGTAGCTAGCCTCAGGTCACGTATAATTAGAATAGATTATACTTATAGGGATTATAGGGAGTAACAGGGGATATTATTTTCCATTTACAAAAAAGCCCAAAATAAAGAAACCCAATAGCTTCGATCCTTAAGAGTAATGTATGGGGAATCCCAGGGTTTCACTGTAGTCAGACTCACATGGAGGTTCATGGGTAGTTATAAGTCGGGGTATAAGTAGGGTAACTATACGTAATCATATTATAACCCATACCAGGGGGCTTATAGCCCGAAATAGAACTACCCATGAACCTCCAAGCAAACTGCTTGGAGGGTCGGGGGACTTAGTAGCTGGTTCTTTTAGGGACTTACAAGTACCATAACCCCAATTGGGATCCCTTCTAGGGTACTTATATAAGTCTACTTACTACCTACTTACTAAGTCCCCCGACCCTCCAAGTAAGTCCCATGACCCTCTAAGCAACTCTGGAACCCTATACCGTTATAGAATCCCTATAGATCCCTTCAGGGAACCCTTAAAGAACCCTTATAACTAGGATCTCCAGTAGTACCCTTATTCCCTTTTTGTAGTCCCAGGTTCCTTATAAAGTTACCCAATACCAAAAAGAGAGGCCTTTTTATTCTTAGGTTACTGGGTATCCTAGATAACTACCCATGACTGACCCTAAACCCTAAACCCTAAACCCTAAGGTCGGCAATCATGTTTCACTGCGTGCCTCAGCGCGAGGGGGTTCGATGGGAGGGTCGGGTCTAGCACGTGTAAAAAAAAAACCCTAAGGTCATCTACATTACTCTCCAGATCATCGGAGCCATCGTCGGAGCCTGGGTTTCCGCCGGGCTGGTGCCTGGCGCTGCCGACTTCATCGGCACCGGGGGCAGCTCGGATTTTGGGTTTCGGGGTTTGGGGTTTAGGGGGTTTAGGGTTGAGGGGTTTAGGGGTTTAGGGGGTTTAGGGTTGAGGGGTTTAGGGTTTAGGGGTTTAGGGTTTAGGGGTTTAGGGGTTTAGGGGGTTTAGGGTTGAGGGGTTTAGGGGTTTAGGGGGTTTAGGGTTGAGGGGTTTAGGGTTTAGGGGTTTAGGGTTTAGGGGTTTAGGGGTTTAGGGGGTTTAGGGTTGAGGGGTTTGGGGTTTAGGGTTTAGGGGTTTCGGGTTGAGGGGTTGAGGGTTCAGGGTTTACTGGGAGGTTCATGGGTAGTTCTAAGCCGGGTTATAAGGCCCCCAATATGGGTTATTTTTAAGTTTCCGTTTTTTGGAGGGGTTCAAGTGATTCTACTAAGGCTGAATAAGAAGAACAAGAAACCTCAATCATCGAAAATGGGAAAATGTAACTGTACAGTTGAAGACCCATTGTTAAGCGGATACCGGAACCTTAAACCCCTATACCCTATGGACCGGACATCAAGGAAGTGGCCCGGGATGCTTCGATCGCAGCGTTATCCACGAAGGCCTGTCGGACGAACAGGTATTCGGCTGGGAGTGCGTGACTAGGCTCTTATTGAAGCACGGTGTGTTTTTTGTATTTTTAGGGGTTCAGGTTTTCAGTTTAGGGTTTAGGGCTTATAGGGATTAGGGCTTATAGGGTTTGGGGCTTAGGTTTGAGGGAGTTCGAGGCAACCAGTGTCAGCTTCAGAATCCAGTAAGCCCTGAGCCGGTTTAGGGTTTAGGGGACTGAGACCCTAAGTTGTACCCTCAAACCCTAACACCCAAAGCTCCAACACGCCAGCCAGGTGGGAGTGTCCGAAAATAGGGGGTTTAAATATAGTACCCTAAATTGTAGGATCCTGATTATAAGGATCCCAAAACTACGACCTAGAGTTGGCCCTTATTCCCTTTTTTAGGGTTCAGGTTCCCTTATACACCCCCTTTAAACCAAAAAGGGCACCCTTTTTATTCCCAGGTTACTCTTAGGTCTAGAAAACAAGGTACCCTAATGTTCGGAAACCCCCAGGTGATGACCTTCACCCTGATCTCCTGTGTCTATGCTTGTGGCGTGGCCAAACCCGGACATGGCAGCCACACGCCCTTCGCCGTGGGCCTCGCGCTGCTGTCATGCGCAGGTTCCCAGAGACTCCAAAACCTCTTCACTAAGGGATATATACCTTAAATCATAAAAGGGGTCCTACTATAATTTAAGGTATATATTCCTTAATTAAGGGCTATTGGAGTCTCTGGGTTCATAGGGCCCCCTAAATAGGAACGTAAGTCTAGGCCGAGGGTGTAGGGTACAGGGTGTCGGGTATAAGAAAAGAGGAGCGCAAGTCTAAGTTTAGGGTATAAGGTGCAGGGTTTAGGGTATAAATTGTTAATCGGGATATCCCTGCGCGTATGTATAAGAGAGTTTATATGGGAGACCCTTTTTCTGTGTTTTAATGCGTTTCCGCAGGTTCTGGTGGCCAGTACACCGGTGCTGCTTTGAACCCCGCAAGGGTCCTGGGTCCCTTGGCGGTCTTCGACTGTGGCAAAGATGTCGTCGGGCTCTACATCGGAGGCCAGAGGTCCAAAGATGTACATCCTGGGGCTCCTTTAAAGGGGTCTATAAGGGGTACCTTCAATGGGTTCCTTTAAGGGATCTATAGGGTTTAGGGTTTCGGGATATAAATCCTGCATTACCCATAATAAGGAATATACCATGATTCCCAGAGTTTAGGGTCCTTAAGGTAATGCAGGATTTATATCATCAACAGTAGGTTTTGGTGGATTAGGGCTCAGGTCATAACATGACAGATGTTGATTCAACCCGACACTGTAGTGTGTGGAGATTTCGGTTTCTGGCTTCAAGGCCAATTCGTTGCGGCCTTGCTGGCGATGTCCGTTTTCGCCTTCGTGTCCGGCCTGGGACCGCTGAACCCTTGGCTAGCAAGGAGGGCTTTGAACTTGTCCTGGCCGGAGGCAGTACCTTAGGTCTCCACTAAAACAATGCTTTGAACTTTTCGGGTTCTTATAAGTTCCACTAAGTTCCTAAGTTCTTAATCACTAATCCGGAATCCCAGTATTTTGTAAGTTGTCCGCTGCTTTTGCTTGCTATCGGGGAATTTAGGTATACCTCTGGATCACCGGCTCACCACCAAGTCGCTTGCAGAAGACAGGCCGTGAGAACATCAAACCTAAACCCTAAGACTAAGCCCTCGAACCTAAGACCTAAACACCCTAAACCCTGAACCTAAACCAGGCCGTGAGAACATCAACGACTTCAAGCACGCTTTCTCCGAGTTCTATGCATCCGAGGGTTCCGAGGCACCCCAATCCAAGCTCCTAGCCCTTTTAGAAAGCCTTTGAGCCTTTTGAGTTTTCCCTTGTGGCTGGGGTTTAGGGTCTTAGGGTTTAGGGTTTGGGGTTTGGGTTTAAAACTTAGGGTTTGGGGTTTAGGGGTTGAGGGTTTAGGGTTTAGGCAGCTCTTCAGTCAGTTCTTTGGGACGGCGAAACCATAGACCCTACAAGCCTAGAGCCTAAACCCCTACACCCTCAAACCCTGAACCCCGAATCGGTAACACCCTAAACCCCAAATTAACAAAATCAGAATAAAAAACCAATAATGGTAGGACTATTAAAAACATTGATCGTAGTAATAATAGCAACTAGTATTGATAATCTTAGTAGTATATTGAAATCGTAATAAGAATACTAACCCGAATAATAGTGGTAACAATTGGTAACACTAATACTTTTGATGGTAGTAAAAATAAGAATGATAGTAGTAAGAAGATTAACCCAGTCGTCATAATAGTGGTATTAACCTTGATCTTATATAATACTAATCGTAGTAAGAATACTCACCGAGGATCCTCGACTTCGAGCGCTGCTTCGGCATCCGGAAGCCGCACGTGGAAGCGACAGCTCCAGATGCTGCGTGAAACCCCAGGTGGGGTTTCGGGTTTAGGGTTTTTTGAAGGATTTCTTTGCGGCTTCCTTTAAGGGTTCTATAAGGGAACTATGTGGGGAGCTATAAGGGACCCCAGGTGAGGTTTGACTGTACATCCCTTGTAGATCCCTTCAAGGGTACTAGTATCGGTATTTAGGCCGCTGCATTATACTAATGGGTGGTTGTCAAAATTATGGTCCCTTTTCGGGGTCCTTAATATGATACAGCACCTACTATTTAGGGTACCCAAAAAGGGACCAGAATTTTCGCAACTACCCAGGTAGGGCTTAGGGTTTATAGGGTTTTTACAGTGTCAGGCTCTCGGGGTTTAGGATTTGAGGTTTTTCATGGTGTGGGGCTTGAGGATGTTTAAGTTTGCACTGTTTTCAGGGCGTCGGGCCCAGTCTGAGACGTCAGGCACAATGTCGCCTTCTTGCCGGACTGGTGAACGAATGGCATGGAGTGCCAGAGCATCAGCTCTTTCAATTTCTTCTGCCAGTTGCACCTACCAAGCACCCAGAAGCGGTGAAGTTTTGTGACCTCTTTGTGGGTCTTGTTCCTTCTTCTCTTTCCATTATATATACCGCATGGGATAGTTCAATGCACCTCCGGGACAAGCAACCGCCTTGCTCCCTTGCAAGTGTCAGGCCAAGACTTCCTAATACAGGGGCCTTGGTATTTAGCATAGGGTTTTGGGGGTATGTTATTACACTGTCACGTAAATAGAATGATTCCACCCAAAAACATAGCATAGCTCTACTTTAATTATGTTTGAACCTCCCCAAAACCCATTCTAACTATTAAGGCCCCTATTGCAACTAAGATCGGTCTGTGGCAAAAGCTGCTCGTGGAGGGCTCATGGGTTTTAAAAAGAAAACCTTCATGACCAGGTTCCCCAGCAATACCTACAGTCTCCCTTGTAGTTCCTTTTTTTGGTTAAGCAGTTTTATGGTTAGGATCCTATAAGATAGGTTTTTGGTTAACCGGAAAAAGGAACGACACTGGAGACTATAGGTACCATTTGGCCCTTTTTTGTTTTAGGGTTCCCTTGTTAAGATTGAACATCAAGAAAATGGATATATACCCTCATTATTAAGAGGCTACTGCGGACCCTAGATGATTAGAATAGGTGTCCCTTAGGGGTTCTCTTGCTACTTGTTTTGAGGGTTCAAAAAGGTTTCTTGTAGCGGTTTCAATTCTTGGGGAGCGGCCTTATGCGTAGTATTTAGAATAGGAAATTGAGGTGTGATATAGAAAGAAGAAACCCTGAGGACAGCATTGGTAAGTATACTCTTGCCTAAGGCAACTTCAGGGTTCTCCCCGCTTCGCCAGGGTGGTGACTTGGTGCATGCCCGCCGCGACCGCTGTAAGCACCTCAATGCAGATGTTCTGAGGCCTGAGACACGGTCAGGGTCGAATGTAGACTGGCTCATCAATAAACTGCCGATTATCGGGATCCTCAAATGGGTGGCTAGGGGTTTTACGTGTTGTGTGACATGCGAGTTTCGGAATACACTTAATACACAGTCTTTTTTTGTATTTCGGTGTTTTACGAGTTTGTGGGGTTGTGGGTGCAGGGTGTTTTGAGGTTTGCAGGGGTTTCAGGGAGAATGGCAGAGGTTGTACATCCTGCGGTTGATGATATAAATCCTCCATTACCCATAATAAGGAATATACCATCATTCCAATAGTTTAGGGTCAACCGTAGGACCTTTGGCTTCGGGGGTTTAGCGCTTACACGATTACCCATGGTGAAGGCACTGCAGGTGGCTCTCGACACAAGCTTCGGGCGATTGCAAGACATGATCAGATGGGGCTCTCCTGCTCCAAGCGCCAGCAGCACTGAGGACTTTAAGCTCATCTGTTCCGCCAAGACAATGAAGGAGGAAGACCGTTTGAAAGATTCGGTGGCTGCCCAGCGCCGGTGAGGAACTTTGATCGAACCCCTAAAGGAGCACGTCACGGATTCCGCCAATGAGACCTTGCAGGTTCCTTTAAGCTGTTGCTGTACGTAGAGGCCCAGCAAAACTTTGTAAGTAGGGTATAGAGTTGTAAGTACCCTAAATAGAGTTTCCCCCAATTATAACCCTACTGTTAACAGACTTACTACGCTTTTTTGGGGCTCCAAGTAGACCCAGCCCCCTGAGCCATTTGGTTGTGTGATCTGTTGGGCCCAAGAACCCCAGAATGTAAGTCCGATAGGGCTTACTATAGGGGCCTTAACAGTTACCTGTACTATTTTGGGGGATCCTTGCTATAAGGCCCCTAGAGTAAGGTTTCGGATTTGGGGTGTAGGGTCCCGAACCCATTACCTCCGGCCCCTCAAATAGAATACCTATAGGTTTCGCCATATTCATCGGGTTAGGGTTTTTTGGCCTATAGGGTTTAAAGCTTACCTGTAGGGCCATACCCTACCTCCTTTTTTAGGTCACGTACTTTTCTGTATATTGAATAGATCCTGGCCATATTACGAGGCACCGTCATACCCCGCCCCTCCAAGGTAGAGTTTAGGATTTAGGGCTTGCGTTTGAGGGCATCCGCAAAACGCTTGCTGGGGGATCCCTAATTAAGGTTAGCGACAGAGCATTGCCCCTGCTTGCCGCCTACCCCTTCTAACACAAAGCCTAAGAATCGAAAAGCCACATACGCGAAGCCTTAAAATCTGCTACAAAAGCCCCAAAGCAAGTAAACACCCGACAGCCCGAAAACTTGAAGCTAAAATCCGAATATAAACCCGAATCCTAGAGCCCGAAATCCCCAAAAATCCGAAACGGCAGGATCTTTTGCAGCAAGTGTTTTTCCTCCTTGGCGATGCTACCGAAGGCTCGGCGTCTTGAATGCCACAGCCACACTTGTAGGTAGTGACAATGAGGTAACATGAGGTAAGTAGGCCCCCTGTTTAGTGTCCATGAATAGGCACAGGTACAGCTATATGCCTTTGTGTAGAAGGCTGTTCCGATTCTCCTATAACCTCCAAACGGCCAACCATCATCCATAGCTTGGTGTGTTCGTCCCTAGTCTGAACTTCAAGGGTAAAAGGAGGGGCCCTCAATAAGGACCCCTAGGTATATACCCTTAATATAGCCATTATATACCCATTATATAGGGTACGGGGTCCCCATAAAGGGTTCCTCCATTTCTCCTCTGATGAACCGCAGAATCTAGGGGCCTGCAGTCATAAACCCCTCGACACCAAAGCAAAGCTGATGGAAGCCTCGATTTGTGCATCCTAAGCCCCACCCTAAGGCTCCTAAGAGGGTCTTGGGCTTTCTGGAAGAAGGGTTTGGGCTTTGGGGGCTAAGGTTTGGGATCTCACTACGAGGGTCCAGGAGCATTAGGGCAAGCCCTAAACCGGTCTCAGTATGTGCATCCCTGCCCCCAAGGGGCTCCAGGTGCCTAACTAGGGCCTTGGCGGGGGGGGGCGGGGGAGTACCAATGCCATGTACTACCTCGAGCCCTAGGGTGCCTGAGCATGACGAACCCCGAGTGGACCTACTCTGCTCTTCTCTTAGGGGCACTTAGAAATAATTGTATATTTTTCTGTATTATAATCGCTAAGAAACAGCTAAAATGGTAATTTTTGCTAGGGTTCTAAGTTCAGTATAGTTCTACCAGATGATGCACTGGAGCTCTTGGGTTAAGTTATGTCTCCGACCATTTTGTCTTGGGGCTTGCTGTGGCGGATGCCTGATGCAGGTTTTGAGGTTAGAGGTCGACATGCAGATCTCCTGACCCTAAGTTTCCATGTGCCCAAATAGTACAGACTTTGGCCTTAAATTTAAAGTACTCGCTATATAGGCACATTGGTCCCAAAATAGTTATATACTGTTTGGGTACATAGACCTTTAGGGTGAAAGCCGCATCTCAGAACAGCTCCCAACACTGAAACAGCACGCTACATCCTCAGGCCCCCAAGAGTAAGAGCGGAGTTACCCAATCCGAGACACCATCAGGGTTTACCCCTCAACCCTAAACCCTAGATAAACCTCAAGGCCGAAATAAACCCTGGAATCAGGGTCAAGCCTCAACTGCTGCGTTCCGAGGTCGGTAAGGAGGTTCACGTCTGTGCCGGTTCCCTTGAGGCCCACGGGCATGTTCTGCGGCGTGGAAAGTGGAGTAAGGCTCTACGGTTTCAGGGTTTGTATAAGGCTTAACGGTTTGAGGTTTCGGGCGTTTAGGGTCTAATATAAGGGTTTACGGTTTAGGTCCAGGATTTAGGATTTAGGTTAGGTAGTCATGAGGTTTACGTCTGGATTGGAGGTCTTGAGTGAGATTTGTTCATGGTTTTGCGGTCCACATCTCAGAGCCTGAATAACTAGTTTTCAATACGAAGACTATTCTTCAAGAATTCCTGATCACGTAGACCCAAAACCCTTTGTAATTGTTTGAGCCTCTATATGCAAGTTTCCGAAAATCTTAGATGTTTAGTTGCACCCTTGAATCCTTTTTTTTTTGCCCCCACATATGGGATTGGATTGTTCTTAATTTAGGTATCATGGGGTTTATTAATAATAAACCGTGGTCGATAGACTCATAGTCATTGGTGCTCAAGTAGTAGCTTTTTGCACACCTGTAGTCCACACAGAAAACCACAGACCCTATTAATCCCCTGGGAAAACCCAAACCCACTCGCCCTCGCCACTCCCACTCGCCCTCGCCACTCGCCCTCGCCTATCGCCTAACCCAAAACCCGGACCCAGACCCACTCGCCCTCGCCTAAGCCATAAGTTAATTCCTGCTGGATCATGTGCCTCCTGCTGCTGCTCCTCCTCGTCGATTGGACAGCGGGGGATCCCAGAATCATTTCAGGGCTTATTATAGGGTTTAGTTAAGGACGACCGATACAGGTCGAGACCGATACAGGTCTTGTAGTTAGGACGACCGATGCAGGTCGAGACCGATACAGGTCTGTAATTTTAGGGTCTAGGTCTAGGGTAGGAATTTAATTTATTAGATTGGAGACGACCGATGCAGGTCGAGACCGATACAGGTCTTACGTAGCTTCGGGTCTAGGTCTAGGTATTTGACGACCGATGCAGGTCGAGACCGATACAGGTCTTAGGCTTAGGTCGGTTTGGGGTCTAGGTAACCTGAGGACCGATGCAGGTCGAGACCGATACAGGTCTTAGGTAGGCTTGGGGTCTAGATTTAGGGTTTAGGGGTTTAGGGTTTAGTAATAATAATAATAATAATAATAATAGGGGGTTGAGGGTTTAGGCTCGGGTTACTTCCGGTCTAGGCCAGGTAGTGCTTAGCGCCTCAGATGTAGTCTGGGCTTTAGCTGTTCAGGGTTTTTGGGCAGGGCTTGGCTTTGGGCTTCACGGTAGCGTTTGGGGTAACCTGTGCTGTGGCTTAGCGCTCATAACGCCTAAACTTTAAGTTTTTACCCTGAACCCTAAACCCCTAAAACCTGAAACCATGAACCTTAAATCCCCTGAACCCTTTAAAACCCCTAAACCTAAAACCCCGAACCCTAAATCCCTGAAACTTAAACCTGTGTCGACCTGCGCCGTGGGTTATTAGACTACTCCACCTCCCTGGCCCTAAGCCCCTAAGGGCTTAAGCACCTAGTAGGTTTCGGGTCAGGGATCTTTCGGAGCCTTACCCCCAATTCAGAATAGGTTTTTAAAGGGCAGGGGTGATTTTGGTAGGATTATTCGGGTGTGGTTTTATTTAATTATTCAGATAATCAACAAGGGTGAAGGATTAATCACGGCCAAAACCCCTTGCCCGACACAGGGTCAGGGCCTCAGCTCTGTGCTCTCGCCCTCGTTGGGTCAATTTGCTTGGGTTTTCCATTTCAGACCTTGAGTCTTTGAAATTACGAGGTTGATCTTTGAGCCGTAGAATCACGACTCGACCATGGGAAGCCTTTTCAATCAATAATAAATTAGGGGTCCTCTCGCCTATCGTCCTCGTACCGACTTGTTGACAACTTCGTAAACTCATCAACGATGACACGCGAGCCTCCAACTAAACCCTGATTCAGGTGAAAAGCTGCAGATGGCTTTGCGCTTCTGGGCTTGGAGCCCAAAGCCTTGCGAAGTGGTGTGTCGCCTTGCTCTACCAGCCACACCTGACTGCCCAGGTCAAACTGCGCACTGGTGGGCTTGGAGCCCAGTCGCATCACTTTTGACTTACCCGCTTTTGGGGAGTGTCTGCAGCTGGAAGTGGAACTATCTGACTTTGACACGAGGCCTTGGCCATTGTTGCGACGCCGTCACCGTCCTCGCCCGAACGTGCGGCTGACACAATTGCTAAGTTGGTTTCTGCATGCCCAGGCACTGACTGTATCACCGTCGCTTGCAAGTCATTGCCTGTCGGTTGCATTGCAAGTTTGGCTTGAGCTTGACATCATTCATCCGTCGGTGTTTTCAGTTCAAGAGTGACAGGGCCCTCGACATGCCAGCCATGTGCAATGACATTTAATAGTGTTCACTACTATACACGACACGAGTCACATGCTTTGACAGCTGGCAGGGCTTGGCTGGGCTTAGCCGCTTTAACCAAGGCTTAGCTTCGACTTAGGCTTAAACGTCAATCTTTAGGATTGCTTAAGGCTCAGCTTAGGCTTTGCGGCTTAGCTTGGCTGATAGGGTTGAGTTTTGGCCCTTTTAAATTCCCATGGCGTTTTCGTCCGCCTCTGCGCCCTCGACGGGCCTGTTGCCCCCGGCCTTCCAGGCGGCACACAGCCGACTGAGGGAGGTTTTGCTCGCCCTGGACTTGATCGTAATGGCTTGGGGGGCCGAGGCGTGGTATGACAACGGCAGAGGCCACCAGGATGCATGCAGGACTTATTGACCTAAGACAGTTGGGTCGTTAAATTATAATTATTATAACGACAAATTAAATTTTCAAGTCGTTGGAATAACCCAGGTGATGGCTTCTATGGCAGGGACGGCATGGTGGGGAGGCTCAAGAGCTGGTACCCTAGAAGCGTCCACGTCACCGTGGACGTCCGCGCGCCCTCGCTTTGGCCGAGGGACGAGGCCCGCTCCTGACCTGCATTGCAGTAATCTTTGGGCTTTACAGTAGGGTTTAGGGCTTAGACAGGGCTTAGCCGCTTGAAGAGGAATCCTGAACTTAGGAGACGGCGATACGCCCACGCAGATCCTCGACACGGAGAATGGGCGACGGACGCTGCGTTACTGCCTTGCGCAGCTCATCAGCATGGTGCTGCCTGAGTCCTGCAGGCAGGTTTCTGTGCTCTTCCAGGTCATCTGCAACTTGGCTTTGTTAAAACAGTTATTAAATGTTATTAATATTCATGAGTAACCCTAGCCATGAACCTTAAACCCGGGGACCCTGTTCCCTAAACCAGTAAGGTTCCGCTGGGAGGCACAGGTCCGCGTCCATCGCCCTCGCCCTCGCGTGCATGTTCGATCTGCGGCTTTATCTGCCTAGCCGGGAAGGACTTATGTCCGACCCGGAGGTTCCGGCGAGGCTCTCGGCAACCAGCCGGTTGTGCAAAATGTGCCAGGAGGCTTTCAAGGACGTTTGCAGCGGCTTCTTCTGGTACTTTCCAGTGCCGCCTCCGCCCACGCCCTCGCCTTCGCCCCCGGCTGCCTCTGCGTCTGAGCCGCCCTCGGCCCAAGAGCTCGCTTCTCATCTGCATTTAATAATAAGTAATTTTTTGATCTAAATAATAATAAGGACCCATTGCCTCGTTGTAATGGTTTTGCTCTTAAGGTCAAGAGGAGCGTCACCACAGCAGCTCCATGGGTCGTGGAAACCCTGACGGAGCTGAAGGTGGACTCCAAGACGTGGAGCGCTGCTTGTTTGCATCGGACCCTTAAGTAAACTACCCTAACCCTACTCTGTTTCTCTCAAATCCTCAACCCTAAACTCAAACTACTAAAACCCTGATCAGGTCGTGGCATCCCTCATCGCCCTCGGCCCCGATGGCTTGAGCAAATTGGGGGAAATAAATACGATCGCTCTGCAGCAAGCTCGACTGTATCAGTCGTGGGCCTGGGCATCGCAAAAGCAGAAGGCCCGGCTTTCTTTTCAACTTTTATTATTTCTCATAATCAGAAGCCTAGGCTCTAAGTTTTTGCGTCCTCGACCTCGATCTCGCCTGAAGGATTCTGCGTGGAGGAATCCTTCTGCAATCCTGACGTGGCACTGCCGGACCGCGATGAACGAGATCGGCAACGAGCGCGACTCGGCGGCACCATTAATAAATTTAATTAACCCCGGTCCATTGTAGCCACTTAATTTAATTATAACATTCAAAATATTTAAACAACCTGGACCTCTAGCCTAAGGAACCCGAATGTCCAGGAGACAGCCACACACGGCCTCGCCCTCGTCCCGGCGGCGCTCCCGCTCCCGCTCCCGGTCCCGCCGCCCGCGACCGCGATCCACAGCCCATGCCATCTCCTCAGCCTCCGAGTCCTCGTGATGCCACTGCGGCCTCGTCGACGATGTCAATGTCGATGATGTCGTATTCTCTGGTGCTCGTGGACGATGACGACCTTGATCCGCCCTCGTACTACGAGCCACCTGGCGGAGACGACGATGATGAGGATTTCGAGGTGGTTAAGCCACCGGCATGATAGGATGCCCAGTAGTCTTAGTAGTAGTACCATTAATAAATTAATCCTAGGTAAATTTACCCACTACCTTCGAAACGGAGCCCTTGTTGAATTTTATTCCTAGGTTACTGGGCATCCTATAAGTTGCCGGTTCGAAATTGCCGGGAACAGTTCCTCTGGCAGCTCTTCCGTTGTGATTTCAGGGCCAGTCTTTTTGTGTTAAATTATAACTTAGATTAAGACAAAGAGCTCAGTGTCCTGTAGTTTTCATTCGCCCCCGACAAGACATCTAGTCTTAATCGCCCTCGACCTCACGACGGAAGTTCAACAGCTGTCGGCTGAACCTGTCTACTACCGGCCGGGAATGACGAAAAAGGTGTGGAACGTGCTTGGTGACTGCATAATGATGTGAGCATGTCATTGACTGCACTTGTTTCCTTGCGGCCCTGCCAGGCTTTTGGTCTTCTGTCACCTACGCCTCGGTGCATCTCTCAGTCAGGGGGGTTAGACAGCAGCACACTTTTTGACTGACCATTGGATTGCAT